CGTATTATCCCATAGACAACGCGCGCGTTATCTAATGAAAAAAGTGCATTTCTTGCCAAAATTAGTGGTGCGCGTTATCTACGGGGTGCGCGTTATATGTGGTTTTTAAATAAATTACACAAAAAAGTATTTTAAAATTATTTTAAAATTATTTTAAAAACACTTTTTAAAATATTCTAGTTTATTACTAAATATAATTATAATAAGTATAAAAATCAATCAAACCAGTCAAAATCAAAACCTGATTCTGAACACATCCCTAATATCTCATATCTAGATAACATGTCTTCTGTATAGCGTTTTCAAACATACAGGAACTTCCTGTATTATACAGGAATTTTCACAGAATACAGGAAAAAATTTTCATGTACATTGAAGAATACAGGAATAAACATTCTGAAAATAAGCTGAAATACAGGAAAATACAGGAATTTTTGGCAATTTTCTAAAATTTATACAGGATTTTCAAAATATTATTTGGCAACGCTACTTCTCTATCTACATTCTCAGATTCAGAATCAATAATGATTTTGTTTGTTGTTTTTAATTGTTTAAAATTTATTTAATTAGAACAATTAATCACTATATTTTGTTTTGAATTGTATTCTAAAAATACGCGTAACACTAATAAGTTTAAACATATAGTAGAGGATATGCGCGTTATACATGGGGTGCGCGTTATCTACGATTAATTTTTTATTTAAAAATATTGTTAAATTTCTTACTGCGCGTTATACACGGGGTGCGCGTTGTCTATGGGATATTACGGTATTATAAATACATTTATAGCTGTTTTAATAGTAATATTATTATGTCTTCTTTTATGTCGCTTGAGATTAAGTAATGAGTAATTTAATGAATTCATAATTAAAACAAATTTAATTAATATTACAATTAAAACATTTGTATAAAACGTTAGTTTGTTTTTGTTTAAAAGTTATCAATAATTGCGTAAATAGTATTTCAATACAATAAATGATAAAAAGTTTTAATTGTGAAAAAAATCCTCCAATTCTCTCAAATCGTTATCAGTTTTGAGATTTTGTGGCAAAAAGTTGTCGAAAAGAAAACCAATGATCTGTTTGTATGTCTTTGTCTCAAACTCGGGAACAGTTGTCTTAATTATGCGCCAGTTTTTCATCAAATTATTAAACGAAGAGATTTTCTCAAACTTTTCTTTAATTAAATCCCAATCGACGGACAACTCGTCGTCGAAATTGTATTTAAACAAACAGTAAACGAGTTTCGCTGTGTCTTTCAGTGACCACTTGTCCACCAATTGGTCAAAGTTAACGACTTTCCACCGAAGACTGTGATGCCAGCGATGAGAGACATCGGTTGCGCTTCTATTCACTTGCGATAAGTCTCTAACTTCTGTCGATTTAATGGTTTTATCAAATATATGTTGCGTTAAGTCATCCGTATTTAACACTGATTTCATGGCGTGTATAAGCCGTGAGTCCTCATCGGGAGTCCAATTACTCTTATCATAGGGCTGTCCATCACTGTTATAATGTTCCAGAATATTAGCCACAATTACTTTGGGTTTACACCAAAATGTTTCCGCAATTTGAGTCCATTTGTTGCCATACATTGAATGCAATGTCTTTATATTCTTCCTGTCATTTGTGGTCAAATCCTTCATGACTTTCAATGTGTTGAACTCAACCCTCGCCTTATCCCAGATCTGTCTAAGCGTACGGTTAGGCAAACCATAGCCTAATCTCAGGTAAAACTTTTCCCGTTTCATGAAATCCCTAATCATTTTTGTATCACTTGACGTGTATTTAACACTTCGGGCGAAAAACCCTAATAAACGTGTTTTCATGTCTTCGTCGCAATTGTTGTCATCACAAAATGTTTGCCAATTGTTTCGCAAGATTTCAATCTCTTGTGAATTGAATTTCCCTTTAATTACTTTAATGTTATTGTCTTTTATTAATTGTCTCTCTTTTGGACCAAACTTTGGGAAAGGGATCAATACATGTAATGGAGAGTCACTTACAAGACATTTATTATGATTACTATTATTATCACAAGTGGTCACTGAATTGACAATCATTTTAGTAATAGTATTGTTATTATTATAACTATTATTAACTAAATTATCACATTTATTAATATCGCTTGAAATATCAATGGTTTCAATACTTTGGCTCGGTTCCAGATACCCGTCTTTTCGATTTATTAAATTTAGATTTTTGAACATATTTTTTTAATTATCGGCGCAAATGACCACAAACAACCGTCTAGGAAACCCTTAACCTAACCTAACCTAACTTACCATAATATTACTAACTTAAATTAAAATAATATTTTATAAAATTATTTTTATAATGGTTTTCTATGGGAAGTTAATGTCGCGATATTTCTGAAAGTATTCGAGATAGAAAATTTTGGATTTGATAATCGTGTTCAGCGTTAAATTCTACATCGAATCCATATATCACATTCATAAATTTCGTAAGTTTAATGGGGTGGGGGTTAAAAAAGGAGGTCTGGGAGGGGTGTGCCCAGAGGGTTTTTTGGAGGGTTATATGTACTGATCATAAAAATATATATGTTGGTGGGCTAAATCGAAAAGACGGGAAACTGGAACCGAGCCAATACTTTGCACACATTTATCACTTGACACCCGTTTGCCATTCATTTCACTTGTATTTAACACACAATTCATTGAATTATTTTCATTGCAATTATTATTATTTAATCTCTTTTTGTAATTCAGTTTCAAATTAATTGATTTAATTGTAAATCCTTTATAAACACTAAAAACTATACATAAATAATGTATTGATTTACATAACGAGTGTTTAAAATCGATGCACTCATGCTATACATGTCTATTGAATGGGGGCTTAAATACAGTCATTATTATTAGACGTAATTTACTGTCAAATACATCACATGTCGTGCCATAAGAGATGTAAACAAATAATTTGCTCACAATTTAAATCATGTTTTTAACTACAATTAAATCCGTTTAATAATTATAATTAAAATACAGTGTATTTAATATAAAATTACTTAATTTAATAACTATATTAATTAATAATAGTAATAGTATTAAATACTTATACCACGTGTTATACGATAAGAGTTATAAATAAATAAATAATTTGTACACAATTTAAGTGATGTTTTAATTATGAGTTAATTAATCAAATAAAACAATACTCAATGACTGTTAACCAATCAAAACACATAAAGAATCTCTATATCAACGTATAGTGCCTTTCATTGACCGCAAACCTCAATGTCTGACCGATTGGTGTCCGCAAAGACATCGGCGACGATCACCGCCGCAGACGACAGGTATTATTGATTGGATTTAATGATTATAATTATCACAACATTAGGGCCATTGAGTGCTACCCCTACCACCCCTTCCCTTCACACCAACCCATAGCCCTCTGGATCTGTTTGAGTGACAAATGTCTGTGTCTTTACAGTCAAGCGTTGACTTACGAGTCAATCGTCGAGTCGTTTGTCCGCCAAAAGTTATTCAAATGCTATTACGACGGATGCGACAAAGGGTTCGCCACTCAAAGCCGATTGAATTTGCATACAAGTCGCAGACATGCCATCGATGGCAGCGCACAGTTCGGGGAACAACACTCAGCACTCGATGACAGACAACAGATACCAACGATTACTACGACAAGTCCTACAGTCCCGACAATAACCACAACCACTACTACTTCTAGTGCCGACAGACAATGGCTAGTCATTAAGTACAATAAGTATAAGTCTTTGATTAGTACTTTATTAACTAATTTTTTTGTCAACAATTTCTCGACACTCAAGTGATTCGGACTCTGATATCGAAATCATTGGTAGAGTTCCGCCCAAACGGTCCGCACGTAACCGATCGCCGAGTGATGTAAATCCAAAACCACTGGTGCCGGATATTATCGAGAAGTACTGTCGCATAACTGCTATACTATTTGTATTCATAGAAATGAAATATTTTTTATATCTAAACAGTGCGACTGTTGTAGACATTCATGAGCAATACGGGACACGACTACATCTCGGGCTCCGCCGCCGGTCGACTTCAAGTGCCCATT